CAGGATTCTCACAACTCCCAATGAAGTTTCTTGGCAGAGTGAGCAGGATGGCACAGGGAAGTAAAACCAGTGAGGCAATCAACGATAGGTGTTTGGGTATAGCCACTTGTGCTGACACAGAGTTCCAGGTCTGCACTTGTTCTTGGTCCTGGGCAGTGCTATTTCTGAGATTAGATTATAAAGTGCTGCAGCTTCCTTAGACACTTCCCCATGCGTGCACACAATTCTCAGTAAGCTCTTTTATTGAGTGTGTGAATGAAGGAGAGAGAAAGATAATGAGATGCTGATCACCAGGTTCTCTCATTTTTCTTCTCCTGACTCAGCACAGTTGCAATCAGAGATGAGAAATTTCAGCTTTCCTTCCTCTGTCCCCTCCTGCTCCCCACCACCCAAGTCCCGTCCATGAAAACAGTAAAATTACGTCTTCTTTCTTTCATTCAAGATAGTTACAGTTAAAATGCTGTGGGTGGGATCTTGAGGATGATTCTTTACACTTTTGGAGTTATTTCTTTTGAGGACAAAAAGTTCTAACCACTGTATTATAATCCTACTTCAACGTACTTAAGGAAAAATTTAGTAAATTAGAACATCATCATGGTGGATTAGCTGGGCAGCATGAAGCTGTCATTTGAATAACAATACACTTTGAACCAAAACTCATTCGCTTTCTGAACCACAAAAATTACAGTGGGCTTGACTGATATGTTTCCAAGGGGATAACAACTGTCTGCAGAAATCTCCTTTGCCTTTCTCATTTCAACTCCTATTTTTTGGAACTCACACTCGAAAGCTTAAAAAATAATGTCTTTTGACTTCATCATCTCCAAAGAGCACCAATGCCAGCATGTCACCAGAATAAATTAATTCGGGAATATCTATTTATTCATTAACTCTTTAAGTAGTTACTAAACATATACTACTTTCCTGCTTTCCCGTGCCACTGAGAAAATAGATAAAGAAATTAACCCATCTCCCAGTGATTCCCAACAAAGTAAAGTGAAGGTACATCCAACATTAAAAAACAATAAAGAATTGGTGTGCCAGGAATTATAATAAGAATATATAAAGAAATTATACAGATATTTTGTAAGAGCTTTTGATGGTTGGTAAAAGTTTTGATTTTTACCTGAAGTCATTGGCCCTTACAGTCATGGGTTGGCATTTTTTCCTGAATCTGAAAAGACTGCTATAAACATGAAATTTCTAGAAGAAGAAAAACTTATCTAATTGTCTCATTGAGTCATATTTGGAAATGAAAAACTTTTATAGATATAATACAATTCAAATGGAAGTGAGATACATCCTATTCAGAGCAGAAATTAGGTACCTATTTAATCACCACAAAGTTGATATATATTTTTGCAATATAGAGCCTTGTGAAGTTATTATCATGTAATTTTCTAAGAATCAGGAATCACCTCCATTGTATCCACAACTTTGGAGAGTTTAACATTGAATCTTTTCCTTTATTGATCTTGTTTTTATTAATTCCAGAGTTTATTTTATATCAATATTGTGAACTAGATTTATTTAAAATTTAATAGCTAATTTTCTTTGAAATGTGTGTATATATAATTATATATAGAGAATTATGTCTCTTTGTAGTTATATATAATATATATTATGATATGGTCCTTGTAGCAGAAGGAACATGTACAATACATGTATTATATGTAATTTTAGAGATAGCCAGGCTACCATGCGGGGCACCTTTGCTAACATAAAAGGTAAAACCATTCAACATATATGTGTTTGTTTTTGAAGGGAGGTGCGACATTTAGGCATTGTCATTTATCTGTAGAGAGGGTAAATTCCAAAACTGAAATCTGAATTTAAAAACCAGGTGTGGGGTAAATTTGCAAATATGGAATCCATGAGAGAGGAAGAGCCAAAGTTTATTTTTAAACCAGAGCTAAAATGTTTTGATTATTATCTCTTTATAGTCCATCTTGAAATTACGATTTTATTTTTCTTATTCTTTTTTTCAGTATTTTTAGAGTCAACTTATCAATTTTTATTGTAAAAGAAAAACTTACTGAGGCTTTGATTAAAATGTCTTTCAATTTGTAAAAACAAAAAAACCAAAAACAGGTGTGGGGCCAGAGAGATAGCTCAGCGGTCTAAAGCATCTGCTTAGGCAAGCTTGGGCAGGCGCAGGGGACTGAGGTTCAATCCCCAGCATGTGGTGCCATGCCAGCCCTGTCCTCAGGGCAGGGCTGAGATGCCCCCCACCAAAATAACCCCCAAAACCAGGTATGTGCAGATTGGGCTTGGTGGCGCACACCTGTAATCCCAGCACTTGGGAGGCTGAAAACAGGAGGATCACTACGAATCTGATCTGTGTAGTGAGACCTTGTAGACTCTACTAAATATGTTAAAGCAACAACAAACAGGTGTGTGCATATTAACTTGTTTGGGCATCTTGTTACCCAGGAAGAGCAACACATTTAATAGTTAAAATTAGAAGGAAGGCAATGAGCAAACCCTACAAAGCTTGGCACGCTAATAGGTGGGATGTGACAGCAGACTCTGCCAGGCCGAGAGGTGTAATCAAACTGAGAATGTAAGTAGCAAAAAGTGCTTGAGGGATATCATGAAAAATAATGTGGTTGGAGGAGGCCAGAAGAAAAATTGTAAGGCGTGTGACTTTCATGTGTTTTATTTGTTTAATTATAAGAAAAAAGTCTCACCTTTTAAAAAAGTCATAAAAATGAAAATTTTAATAACAAATTGTAGAGAACTTGCTCTGTGTGAGGCGGCACAATAGTAGATGTTATATAAACATCATCTCATTTATTGTCCCTTGTGTTCACTCTGACTCCCAGCTCCCTGCAAACAGTAAAATTCTATTTAAGAGCTGCTTGCTCGCTGGCTTGTACCAGAAGGACCATAAATGGATTTTTGCCTTATGTGTACTTCTGAATTTATAAGGAGTCCTTTATCCTGGACTTCGTTAGAGCTACTGTATGCTTTGAGATAGTGAAGAGGGTGCTCCAGAGAGCTGAAGGAAATGGTGTCCCTGTCCTTCTCAGCAAATGCCAGACACAAAGGAGAGTATGTTTCTTGGATTTACTGTAGGAGAAAGGACCTTTGTCTTATTTCCTACATGTACAACTGCAATTGGAGAGTCACCCCAGCTCACCTCCCTGTTCTGGCTTTTTCCTAGTTCTTGGGTTCACCTCTAATCTAGTAGTTATGTGATGCCAGGGCAGGAAGAATGGTTTCCAGGAAGCAAACTGACCCTGCCCATGTAGAAACCTTGAAATTCTACTAAACACTATTTACTGTTCTGAGAAGAATGTGACAGATGTGACCCAACACCAAAGGGAAGGTTTGATAAAATCAGACAAAGAAATAGCAGCCCCAAATATTGTGAGTGGTTCACCACAAATGTGTTGTTTCCTTTCAGGAGAATCTGATCCCTAGCCTATCTGGTGGAGGGTGATTCAGACCTCTGTCCTAAAGCAAAGAGATGTTGCAATTCCACTCCTTTCAATGAACCACCAGGAGAAAGCACCTGCCATTACACCCTAAATGCTTTCTTTTTTTAAAAAAAAGAACTTCCCCATCCTTCTTGATTACCTCCAAGTCTTTTCTCCTGAACTTTGTTTTTGTTGGTGATATTTAGACATGCTGCTTTCTCTCCGCCGGGTGCACTCTAGGATTCGATCTAATTGTCCTGCTGTTCGAGTGTCACTCAGCATTATTACTGGGGAGATGAATGGGACACGGGTCAGAGTTCAGCAAGGAGGCATCTGCTCACTTACACTGCGAAGTGGAAGCACTTAGAGGTGATCTTTAATGAAAGCTTGGAAAAGATGTGCGCAGAGCACGCTGTGCTCCACGGTTCTGCACGTGAGGTATCTAAAGAGTGCTCCTTTTCTGGAGGAATATCAAATGAATAAGCAGGAGATAGGGATATTTCTGCAGCAAGTTCCCTGCTTGGGCTGTCTGCTTCTGCAAAGGAGAAAAAGAAGGATTAGATTTGGAGAATGGTTAAAGAGGTAGGAGAAAAGGAAAGATTTAGAATGAGTCCTTACCATTTGCCTGGTCTGCTCATAGGACAATCTCACCAAGGAAGAGTTTCCACTCCACTCGCAGACTCCCGCCCAGTGTCTCCGCCGGCTTCAGGTTACCAAGCCATCTCAGGTTTAGGTTCTCTACTGGACTAGACAGTTCTTCTACTTGACCAAGTACCGAGACCCACTTGTGAAGACCTAGCCTTGTTCTGGCATTTGACGCCAGCGGGACAACAGCTCCATTGTTCCTTTTGCCCTCCTGTATACAGCCAATGTCTCCTCCGTTTAATTCAGTCACCAAGGGGGTTAAGTATGGGGCCCCAGAGACTCAACTTCCTTTACTCCCCCCTTCGTCCCTCGGAGAGGATCCCTTTTGTGCTCCTTTTTGCTCTCGATCCATCTTCAAACCTGCTTGGAGGACTCCAGCGGACCTGCCCTTTCACGCTCTCCAGAGTGAAACTTGGGAGGGGAAGAAACTCAAATCAGGGAGCTCACTTTAGTTCAGGTTGTCACCTGTGGACCTCTGCGCAGACGCCTCACAGCTAGCGCCCAGGGGATCCCCAGCCCTAAAAATACCCAGGGCGAGGAGAGGCAGGCGTTAGCTAAGGCGCGCAGCAGAAGTGGTCTCCTAGGGTAGGTGGGGATCCCGCCACCGGCTTGCTGCGCCGAAGGAGTCCCGGCGTACCGAGCGAGGCGCACATTTGCGATTGGGTTTCCCCGCTGTCTGTACGGGGACTTCGAGGAGCCCTGGCGGCCCCGGGTGGGCGCAGTCCAGCTTGCCCCTCCGACTGGCATGCTCTCTGCGCCTTGCTCCCCAGCCAGCGCTCAGTGCCCCGCTCTGAGCATGCGCGGCCCGGCGCCCTCCCCACCCCTCCAGCCCCCCTCCTGCCCCCTCCCCGCCAGCCTTTTGCTCCTTTCCTTTCATTAAACAAACAGGAGATCCTGAAACCTGGACCCTGCGCTAGCAGCAGCGCTAGGGGAAGGCGGCGGAGGAGACCCGCAGCAGGATGGGCGCCAACGGGGATCTGTGATCCGCCGCCCCCGCCCGCGCGCGCGCACACTCACACACCCACACACCCGCAGACTCGCACCAACACACACTCTCAGACGCCCGCGCCGCGCGCTCGCCGGCTCGCTCTCCCACGCAGGCGGAATGCAGCAGCGCGGGGGGAGCGGGTCTCCAGCCGCTGCCTGAATGCACCTCGCTGCCGGGAGCCAGGCGGCCCAGTAGGGCGCCCAGGAGGACGCTCCCCCGCCGCCGGAGGTGAGTGCGGCGCCGGCAGCCTGCAGCTGCGGGAAGTCGCTGCGCCTGGGGAGCTCGGGCAGCTTCCAGACCCGAGGCGGCCGTGCAGGTGGCTTGTGGGTTTCAAGGTGCAGAGGCCAGCAGCGCCGGGGGTGCGTGGGGGGAGAGGGGGACCCCAGGCAGCGTTTCCTCCTGCGAGGTGTCAAATCGACCCAGCAGAAAGCAACCGCCTCCCTGCTCGTAAACTTTCCTCTCCTGTCATTTGGGAAACGTGGAGACAAAGGGGGCGTGGAGGCTCTCTTCGTCCAGTTCCACCCTGCGGACTGCTTTCGGGGCTGCATCGCTAGCCGGTGCTCGTGGGTGGGCGGACGGGCCGGGTCGCCCTGCAGGTAGCTGATGCCAAATCTTCCCATCCGGCAGGGGCTGGGATTTCTCTCCTTCAGCTGTCGGCTTTGAGATTGATTTTTGCCTCCAGCGTGGGCACCAGCCATCCTCCCGCCCCTCACCCCAAGTCCCATGCCCCAGGCGCATAGTAGTGAGGTGTGTGTGTGTGTGTGTGTGTGTGTGTGTGTGTGTGTGTTTGCGTGAGCAAGGGGGAGGGGGTGTCACCTGCTGGAGGGAGATCTTTAGGTTTTTTTTTCATTCAGCACCAGTGCCAGAGGCGCCGGGGTGAGGCTTGGGTCAGTGTGGGGATGACTGATGAGTTACTGAAAGGCTTGCTATAATCACCTAGAAACGCTGGGCGCGGGGATCTCTCTTCCCTAGGGTAGGCGCAGCGTTCACGCACACTGCCGCGGCAGCGCTGGGAGTTCCATGGGGCTGCGGTGGTGGCAGCGGTGACTGTGGCAGCTGGAGCTTTATTTTTGCTCTGAGGTTTTATGACACACACGTGTGGAATATGTAGAGGGTTTTGCGTTATTATTTTTCTTTGTGGGATATCTTTCTTTTTTCCTCTTTCAACCTGTTTCTTAGAAAGAGATGTTTTGCTGCTTCGTACATGTCTGCTGGAAAGACATGGTTCTGAATCTCTTCGGTCCTAAGAAAATGATCCCGTGAAAAGGATTCCTTAAGATGCAGACCCACTGGGACAGGATCTCAGAGCGTGGCGCGCCTGATTACATTTGGGGAAAGCCTGAAATCTAATGGCCCTTTGAAACAGCTGAGTTTCAGACAGAATGTGGGGAGTCGAGGGCCAGGACAAAGGGGAAGGGCAGAAGATGTTTAGGAGTGGTGAGACCGCAGGCCACCTGGAGCAAAAAGAAGTCCAGTGTGAGCAGCTGAACTTGGCAGTTTTAACAGGACTTCTGCATTCCACAGTTCTCATTTATGGAGTGGGCGTCTGGTTTGCTGATATTTAGAATGTCACATCTGGGGCATAAAAGACTTAATTATTCCTGGACTTACCTTTAGCATAATCATGAGTCAGTTCTTCGGGTCTAAGAAAGTGCCTTGTATGAAAGTTTGCCATCTTAAGCTGTTTGTGCCTGGAAGGTGGAATGGGCAGACAGGCCCATTTTTAGCTCTTTGTACCACAGAGTTTGGGGTTTGTAAGGAAAGCCATGAAAATGCTGGCATGAGGCCTCAGAATCTAAACTGCTGGTAACTGCTGGTCATCAGAGGGCTCTCCTCACTTTGGAAGGCCAGGTTGAGGCCATCTTCCTCCTGCAACTTGGACAGGGACTTCTCTTTGTTTTTCAACATTTGTGACTTTGAAGTGGGAGAAGCACAATGTATGTGAGATCCATTTAAAATTTCACACTTGAAAGAGATCTTGACTCCTAAATTAGCATAGCCAAGGGGAGGAGGAGAGGAGAGGAGAAGAGAGGAGAAGGGAGGGAAAGGGAGGGGAAGGAATAGGAGAGGGGAGGGGAGGGAAGAGGAGAGAGAAAGGGAGGGAAGAGGAGAGGGGAGGAGAGGAGAAGGGAGGAGAGGGAGGGGGGAGGAGGGAAGGGGAGGAGGGAGGGGAAAGGAGAAGAGGGGAGCGGAGAGGAGGAAAGGAGGGAAATCAAGAAAGGAGTGGATATTACTAAAACAGATTGGTTTGTATGATTTTTAAAGGGATTTATTAAGACAGAGATCTGAAAACATTCATTTTCTTCTCTTTTTCAAATAACCAGTGAAGACCTTTCCAGAAATATTTTCAAGTTGAAATTGGCATACAGGAGGTTTAAAAATAATTGTCAGCGTATGTGCTTTTTATTTCTTAATGAATATTCTCATCACTTTTCTAGCAAATCTTGGCAAGAAAACATCAAGATTTTTTTTTTTTTTGCTTTTACTAGTTTTCATGCTTTTACTAGAGTTTTTTTTATTCGTTCTGCTATGATATACTTCCTCCTCCATTTGTAAGACTGCTTTATTTTTTTCCTATTCAGTATTTACAAGTACTTATTGACTGCATATCCTGTATTCAGCATTGGAAGTCTTATCGAATTTTATAACAGTTCATAGAATTTACAATCTAGTTGTAAGTACAATATTAATGCACATGAAACAATCAGAGTGAAATACTTCTGTATTATATTATGAGCTCTTAATGCATGTGCTATGCATTCCATCTTTTCCTAGATTTTCTCAACATTTAGAAACCATGCTTCAATACTTATTATGTACTGGATCTTGGAAGAGAAAATCATAAGCAAGTAAAAAATAGTGCCTGCCTTCAAGAAGGGAGAAACAGGCGTTAACTAATTACGATTTGAGCTGATTAACTGTTATAATTGCCTAGTAAATCAAAGGCCAGCAGTACAGAGATGTAAGTTAATTTTTGTTCCATTTGGGATTTGAGCAGGTGATTGTTGAGATACTTGAAAAGAATAGTCTTTGCATGTAGGAAAGGATAGACGAGACATTCTGGAGAGAGGAAATGTGTGAAGGTGCTCAATAACTTGGGGTAATTGAAGGCCATCCCATGTGGCTAGAGCCAGAGAGAGGTGAAAAGCACCTCCCAGCCCTTGGGTGATGCTAATTAACAACTAAGCCTATGAAGTTTGGTTAGAGATGTGGTCAGGATACTATGGTGGCGAAAAGGGAAGACCTACAATGCAAAGAAGGGAAGAAGATTAAGTTTTCTTGGGAAGCTTGATATGATCTGTGCCTAGGACAAGAAGAGAAAGACTTCGGGCAGAAAACCTGTAAGGACTAGTGTTCTGTGAGACTATAGCAAGAGATGTGGGGTCTTCTTAGATTTCTGGAGTGGCACAACATTAAGCCAGATAACTAAGTGGGAGTGGGCAGAGAGTGGAACCATCCTGAGCAAAAGAGACTTCTGCATAACTTGCACCGGGAGCATTTGAAGGCTGGAAAAGCCTAAGATAGAATAAGGGTTGCATTAGATCATGATGATTGTGACCAAAGAGTGCTCAGTGAATTGGAGATGGTGAGACTGGAGTAGGGTGCCTGTTGTGGAAATAGCAGTGCAAGATAATTAGGGGAGTAGAGTAGGAATGGAGGGAGGAGACATATCTGGGAAGCAAATGAGACAAGAAAATCCTGCAGTTACCCCAAGTGTCTCCTTCTGTGTGTTCCCTCTTCATCCTCTACTTCTACAATATTTATTTGCATGGTGAAGCCAAGGCATTCACAGCTGTCCTCAACAATAAGTGAAGGCTGAGTATAGCAGAGGCTCCATAAATATTGTTGAGGGAATGAATAAATAAATGAGTGAGAAATCAAGACACAAAGTGATCATTCTTCATTAATATAGTGGAAGCTAAATCTGACACTTCCATTTCTTCAAAGTGATCAACTTGGGAAAGTCAGTGAAAAACTGTTCCAGCGAGGCCACAGATTAATAACAAGGACATCTTTTACTCATCCATTTTCACAAAGAGCACCTGTAATCTGAACTGTTACTGGGAAATAGCACTGATATATCATATTTTATATTAAATATATGGCTGTGTTGGAGGCAAAAGTAATTACACAGTTAATTAACAATATATAGTAGATTGGGAGTAAATGTGAATCCCCTATTTCTTCTTTTTTGTTGGAATTTACAGATTTCATGTACTTTGTAAGAGCTATTAAAATAAGCTTGGACTAGGGACTTTATAAACTATAAAGTCTCATTAATAACTTGTGATATCTGGCAGTCCTAGAATGTGTAGCAGACCACTGATATCCTAGACATCAGCCATGCAGCCCTAAGAATTAGGTCCCTTACTGAACCAAGCCAAAGCGTGCTGTGTTGTAATCTGAAAGTACAAGTGTGAGCTACCAAAACAGAGAAAAGTATAGTCAGATTTTTTTTCAGATTGTCTATAGGAGGAGCACCAAAGAGAGCTCTCGGAGCCTGCCACTGGGTAAAAGTTTGCAGAGGACTGGGGAGGGAGAATCGTTCAGAAGGTGAGAGGCTCAGTGGTGTTATGTAGGGGGTGATCTGTAAGTGACACTGGAACATTCTAGAAAATACTAGGACAGATGATCCCAGAGTAGAATGGCTTCACAGGAAACACCAACTATGGCTCATATAAAAGAAAAGTTCAAAAAGTCAAGAAACCAGAGAGCTGCAGAGTAAATCTCAGCATTCAGCAACATTTAGAGATATAGGAGACAGACAAGCCTCAGTGAAGAACAGAGGGTGGGGATTCTCAGGAAAGATGGACAAGAGGTGGCATGACCGCAGAACACACTAGGAATCCCTAGAAGGGCTGATCAGACCTCACAGAAGCAACCTGGGGTAGGCCTGAGGAAGTGTTCACAGATGGGATATCATTGCACTCCCATGGGTGACTGCTTTCTTTACTTTACAGCTGAGGTGGTTGAGACAATTTTTAACTGAAGAGAGACTGAAGGGATTTAAAACAGGGAACCATGGGCTGGCTAAATTTATTGGAACTGTCCTACCAATTTGATTTGAAACTGTCTCATTGCTATTTGTTTCTCAATAAAATTATGGAAAAAACCCCCAAATAGCATAGCAGATTAAAGTGCAGGTGCAGGGGCCTGCTGTGCCTACCCTGCCCCCGGGGAACTTGCTGAGATGGCAATTGAGACTGGGCATAGTGGCACG